GGTGTGATAGTCAATATTGCTTCCGTGTTGGGTTTGGAGCCCGCACCACCCACCGCCGTCTACTGCGCATCGAAATTCGGTGTTATGGGCTTCTCRCGTTCACTTGGCGTAAGTGGCGCTTAATAATAGATGTTTAGACAATATTTTATTATTTACACATAAATATTTTATTTCTATTACTAATACTGTTTTTAACTAAAATAAATTATTTTAAATAATTTTTTCAGGATCCGCATTATTATGAGCACACCGGCATTGCGGTGGTCACTTTCTGTCCCGGTTTGACTGATACGCCCTTGAAGAACAACATTGCCACCAAATATACTTTCGACTATTCCAAGGAGATTGGCGAGAAACTGAACAACTCCAAAACACAGAAACCCGAAATTTGTGGCCAACATTTGGCCCAAGTCGTTGAGTTGATGGACAATGGCGCCATCTACATTAGTAACCAAGGCACATTGACCAAAGTGAAGCCAAGCGTCTACTGGGAACCTACTTATTAGTGACTTTGGGAAAATTTTATAAAATAGTTATTATTAATGCGCTTTTACTACCAAAGTTAGTTAGAGAAAAACGTGTTATATAATTTAAGTTTTATAAATTTTAGTGAAATTATGAAAATTATTTTTATAAAAAATGTAATGAAAAGTCTAGTCTGATTCTGGGAAATATAATAATTTTTAAATTTTGAAAATAAAAAATAAGTGGGAGAGCGATACTAAACTTCAAGATTGCCAGAAATAAGCTTTTTTTATTTTATGAGCAAATATAAACTTAGATTTTCCGTTGTGAAAAATATTTTCGAAATCTCTGGCTTTCGCATGAGATTGTCATGCCAAACCTTATTCGCTGCATCCATCGCCACTATTTATAAATAAATATTTATTTTTAGAAACTAATATTTCATACAATTTTATTTGTCACTTATTTCATCCCGTTTTTGTGTATGTGTAAATAAAGGCATATCAAATTCATATATAAACTTTGTTTTTTTGTGTGATTAAAGTGTGTCTCGTGAGTCATAATGATAATTATTGTTTTTTAGTGAAGAAAAAATCTCAAAGAACTTTGAATTATTTATTACCATTATTTCCAAAATAATATGAGATATTCACTATTTTTAGAAAACGTCAATTTATGTTTTTTAAACTCTTCTTCGTCCACAGCCCCTAAATGCTCGTTTATTTACATTAAGTCATTTCTATTATAATTTGAAGTATTTTTAGGAAACATTTAAGATTGCATTAGTTAATAATTACATAAAAATGGCTTGGTCAGCATTTTAAAATTCGTTCTATTATAAGCATACGGAGGAATGTCGAAGAAGTTGCAACCACAAACTATATGAGCTCTACGGCGACATGGRTATAGTTAAACGCATACAAATTCAACGAATGCGCTGGTTAGGCCATGTCGTTCGCTTGGAAGATGATGCTCCAGCGAAAAGCTATTTTGATTTGAGACACATAGGRGGACAACATAAGCAAGGGTGCCAACAAATCCAATGGAAGGACTAAAAACGTACCGACCTTTCTGCGCYTAGGATCAATTTTATATCGTGAGCTCGCAAAATATATAGAAAACTGACAAAGTTTTCTATTCTCGGCTCAGACAATAGTTGTAAAAGATGATGAAAAAGAGAAGGCCTGAATAACTGATTTTAGCTGTGCATATATTGAGTTTTGTGGTTTTTATCCAAAGTACTTTGTAGTAAAATAATATTTGCACCTCGAAAACCACATGAATGAAATTGGATGCCAACTAATTAGAGTGTTGCATCAACAGCAGATAATATATGAATAACATATACGCATATATTTAAGAATTAGGTATATTACTTTTATCTACATTTATTTCATTACATTACATTTATATTATTTTCATAATAAAAACATAAATATTAAGTAGTTAAGATTATAAAACTTATGAAATTAATGGTGGGAAAACACATTTTTAATTTATGAAAGTTTAAAAGTTAAATTATGCATAAATTTTTAATTTTTTTCTATGATACACAATTTATGCGGTGTGCGAATACACATCAAATATACACACACATATATTTATAAATAAAAATATTATGCTATATAACTTGCATAAGTTTGTGAGTACAAAATAAATGTTTATTATTTGAAAGCTTATTTGAAATAATAATATTTTTGAAATGCAAATGTGAACCCATAATTTATATATTTGAAAAGAGAAAGAGGTATGTCTACACTTGGCTGGCGGCGCTTTCATCAACTTGCATAATATTCACGAATAAATACATCTAAATATACATATATGAAAATATTCAGCAGTCACAATTCTGTTTATAAATCGCTTTTTTATTATCAAATAATTTTTTAGTTTATTTTTAACGAAATTTTGCTAAGAAACTTTTTTTTTTTTAATTCGCGCCATTTGAATGAGAGGATGAAATGGAAATAATTTTTTYTTTATTTATTTATATAGTTGTTCGGAGAGTAAAACCTTCAGGGTTTATATATGCTACTATAGTTAGAAGGCCGAAAAATTGAATTTTCCATAATTTTNAAAAAAATAAATAGAATAAAAATATCAAAGGAATATATTTGAATATAACAAACATTTTTTATTTGCCTGTTTAACAAAATTTAATTATGAATTTAGATATGTATAATACTTTAGTAAATAACGTCTGTAAGTCAGCCGATAATTCATTTTGAAAAGATGTGTACGAATGCGCTGGTTAGGCCATGTCGTTCGCTTGGAAGATGATGCTCCAGCGAAAAGCTATTTTGATTTGAGACACATAGGAGGACAACATAAGCAAGGGTGCCAACAAATCCAATGGAAGGACTAAAAACGTACCGACCTTTCTGCGCTTAGGATCAATTTTATATCGTGAGCTCGCAAAATATATAGAAAACTGACAAAGTTTTCTATTCTCGGCTCAGACAATAGTTGTAAAAGATGATGAAAAAGAGAAGGCCTGAATAACTGATTTTAGCTGTGCATATATTGAGTTTTGTGGTTTTTATCCAAAGTACTTTGTAGTAAAATAATATTTGCACCTCGAAAACCACATGAATGAAATTGGATGCCAACTAATTAGAGTGTTGCATCAACAGCAGATAATATATGAATAACATATACGCATATATTTAAGAATTAGGTATATTACTTTTATCTACATTTATTTCATTACATTACATTTATATTATTTTCATAATAAAAACATAAATATTAAGTAGTTAAGATTATAAAACTTATGAAATTAATGGTGGGAAAACACATTTTTAATTTATGAAAGTTTAAAAGTTAAATTATGCATAAATTTTTAATTTTTTTCTATGATACACAATTTATGCGGTGTGCGAATACACATCAAATATACACACACATATATTTATAAATAAAAATATTATGCTATATAACTTGCATAAGTTTGTGAGTACAAAATAAATGTTTATTATTTGAAAGCTTATTTGAAATAATAATATTTTTGAAATGCAAATGTGAACCCATAATTTATATATTTGAAAAGAGAAAGAGGTATGTCTACACTTGGCTGGCGGCGCTTTCATCAACTTGCATAATATTCACGAATAAATACATCTAAATATACATATATGAAAATATTCAGCAGTCACAATTCTGTTTATAAATCGCTTTTTTATTATCAAATAATTTTTTAGTTTATTTTTAACGAAATTTTGCTAAGAAACTTTTTTTTTTTTAATTCGCGCCATTTGAATGAGAGGATGAAATGGAAATAATTTTTTYTTTATTTATTTATATAGTTGTTCGGAGAGTAAAACCTTCAGGGTTTATATATGCTACTATAGTTAGAAGGCCGAAAAATTGAATTTTCCATAATTTTCTCTGAGAACACTGTTGAACGTTGTTGAACCAAAAATTTGTACACGTATTTCGGTATATTTTAACTGTATATTAAGACTTAGTATTAGTAAAAAAAATTGTTTGGCAAGAAACTACAGCTGATCTCCGGTAGCTTTTCTAAAAAAACGTTTTATGGTGATCACTATATCTCCGAACTGCATTCTCTGAAATTGAAAAACGAAACAGATTTCATTAAAGTAATATTAAATATAGTTAACGAAATTGAAGGAATAAGCAAAATAAAATTTTTTTGACAAAATGGCGATTTCTAATAAAATAAATTTTGACTAAAATATAAAAAACATTTGCAAATATAAATATATTTGAGACTAATCGGTTTAGCCGTTTTCGAGTAATGTTTGTCACCCGCCTTGARAACACCATTTTGAGAAAAACGCGTTTAAAGTTYGTTTTTGTACTTCCAAGCACTCTGAAACGCCTTTTCAAATTTGCGTGTAACATTGAAAATATTCACTGGAAAGATATGAAATTTTCTGTGTGTATTCTTAAATATATGTGACCTGGTCTACGGAACGGGGKCTTAGGTGTCAAAAAATCAATTAGTTGATTCGGATGGAAGATGAGATGCTTTTTCGCGTGATAGAATCCAAAAAGTCATAAGTCATTTCGCACGTTAGCTCCCTTTTCGAGGACCAGGTCACATATGTACAATAAGAAAAAAAAAATTCTAACATATGGGTATCGTAAATCTACATTATTTTTTATATACACTGAAGTACTTCATAGGAACTATCCACTTATAACTAGCCTTACCCATTCGGATACTAATGTCAATCACTGTATCCACAAGATATATCTATAATACTATAAAAAAAAAATGTAATTTTTTATGAAACTTGCCAAACCACTAACAGAAATATCGCTAAATTCTGATATCTTTCGATTTTAATGAAAACAAAAAGTTTGTTTGTCAACAATTTAACAAAATAAATGCTTTCATTATATTTTTGGCTATTTACAAAACGAAAAAAAAAACAACTCATATGAATTTATTTGCTTTAATTTTCAATTAATTTTGATCGTTCGCGTTCCTTAACTGCTGACCGTTTTATTTATTTAAACGCTTTTGATTTATGATAGTTTAATATTGACCGAGTGATGAGTGATTTTTTTTATTTTTATAATGTATTTTTTATAATTAATCATTACTTTTTCCATAAAAATTTCGTAGAATGAACATAATAAATTAAAACAGAGAGTTCATCATAAAAATATAATGTTAACAACAATGGCAAATTGAGCTTTTGGAACTAATGAGAGATTATCAAGAGAACTATGAAATTCTGTCAGGGCTCATTAAGTCCTTTTTTAATATGTATATTTAGATATAAACAATAAAACACAAATATGATTAATCAAAAATGCATTTGATGGCAAACAAACGAAAACATATATAAAAAAATAAATAGAATAAAAATATCAAAGGAATATATTTGAATATAACAAACATTTTTTATTTGCCTGTTTAACAAAATTTAATTATGAATTTATATATGTATAATACTTTTGTAAATAATGTCTGTAAGTCAGCCAATAATTCATTTTGAAATTTCATTTAATTTGGTCACTTGCCATAAATCAGAAATAACAGCAAACATCTAGTATGTATAAAATTCCAAAATGTTTTCTTTGAATTTTCGAGATATTTTAATTAATTTCGTTTTCTAAATGAGTATTAAATTATAAATAAAAACGAACAGAGACTTTGGCTTAAATTTCCTAATTTCTGCTTGAATTCGCACTGATATTCATATATCTAATTTATAACCAATAATTGAGTTAGATATAGGGTTATAAATATATTATATTATATATAAAAAATTAACTTCAAAAAAGAAAAGCTTGGTACAAGTGTTTCTTGTCAAAAATGTGAGGACGAGCTCGTAGACGATAATAGCAAAATCTTTAATTTAATTATACCTCTTTATGACCAAAAATTATCTAAATCGGAACATAATAACACAAGGCCCCAGATACCGTATGTTTTGAAGACAGTACCTATTTCGAACTT